CAGCTCACAAGGGCCACTTGAGAGTGGCTCAGGCCTTGTTGGAAGCTAGAGCTGACTTGGATGCTGCCACGCACAATGGCCACACAGCTTTGCATTTTGCCTCTGAGGCGGGCAAGTTGGACCTGGTGCAAGTGCTGCTGGAGCATGGCGCGAATCCTGGTTTGGGCGATGCTTGGCATTCCTGTCAGGTCATTCCTGTCAGGTCGGGGAAGGTTTTCCCTTCAGTTTAACCTTCCATCAAACCACTGAACTTCGGGTCTCTGAGCTTCGTCTGTCCCATCGGAGAGATGCTAGTCTGCTCACCCGACAACCCGAGTCGCTCCAAGGAATAGGGCCGTGCCGCACGGCGCCGCACGGCCTCAGCACGGCCTCACCACCGAGCACCGCGAACTTGTCTCCCCAAGCGAGCAAAGGGCGCGACGGACGGACGGCCCGCGGCGAAGGTCGCACCAGTAGACCAACCAGTTGACCAGTGACCACGTGATTCATCTCCATGTCCCAAACACTCAGGACTGCCATGTCGGACTGCCGAGAAACGGCCCGAACGGTGGTTGAAAAGGGGGGGTAAAGATGTAGGTCCCATGGAGTGTCAGACGGTTTGGTCACCACGTGAACAGACACTTCGACGGGTCACAGACTGCTTCGACGCCAAAAGCGGTCCGAGCGGTCCGGATGACGGACGGCCACACGCACTGACCAACTCGGACGAGCTTTTCGTCGACGGGACGATGGACGGCGCATTGAATGGACTGGACCAAGAGATCACGCAGACGGTTGATGAATCACCCTTTGTATCACCTGGATGGTTCACATCTTCATTTGAGTGACTCATCAACAGTGTGAGTCTATTGAAATCATTGATGTTGTAATCAGTGATTGATCATTCCCAGGTCATGAATGGGACTGGAATAGTTACCTACATTGGGGTCATCTTCATGGGGTAAGTAAGTGTATGTCACTATTTCAGACAGACATCGAATGTCTAGGATTGGTCCCTTTAACGTCTCAGGCTAACCACCTGGGATCATAGCGAACCTTCCACTCTGAGCCGGAGCTGGCCTCTATGCAGTGAAGCCACTTTCTTTTTTGAAGGAGTAACAGATCTGTTTCAGATCAGAAACACAGTTTCTCAAACGGTTGTATTGTATTGTCTACATATGTAGTCTACCCTAGGATTCCTGGCCGCCAGCCCACCATCCATTTAATAGGTTTCACCAAACCAACCATTGCTTTACTCAGAATTTTACACCGCTCAACCAGGTCAACCAATTTTTAATGGTGCAACAGAAGTCTAGGGTATATATATTATATATATATATCAGTGCTCGCTTGATCGAATTTCCCACAGCATAGTGGCCCAAAAGAAGCATTCGAGCGCCCGATCCATCGATATCACTCGATCATGGTAGCGTGAAGTCCCAAGAACCAGGGACAAATCGAGAAAGTGTACCAAGTTGCTGGAGGTAGCATGGGATCCCCGCAGGGTTTGAGTTCGGACCCCTTGTTGGACTTGCAGGCACAGATCCAGGTCCAACAGGAAATGCTGCTATCCCATCAGCAGCAGATGATGCAGCTTCAACACCAGCTGCAGGACGCGTTCGGTCGAGCGGCTCGAGCAGAGGAGGAAAGGAGCATTGCTTTGAGGCTGGCCGGATCGCAGAAGAGCGAGTTGGTTGACACAAAAGGTGTTGGACAGCCCTTCAAATTTTCTGGTAAGAGTGATCAGGATTTTTCGGAATGGGTCTACAAGTTCAAGACCTTTGCCAAGGCCAAGTTCGGTGGAGATGTTGAAGTTGTGTTGTCATGGGCTGGCAAGCAGCGCAAGACCATCGTCAAGGAGGCCCACTTTGGAGAGACGAAGGTGGTGACTTGGAACGATGTGTTCGGGAGCGCTGCAGATGACATCGAGAAGATCGACGATGTTGATGGTATGTTGGAAGGTCTTGGAGCCTATTTGACATCGTTTACAACGGGTGATGCCAACAAAGTGGTCCGCAATTCAGGTACCGACAGTCTTGAAGCCTGGAGGAGGTTGATCAATGAGTATGACCCCACAAGCTCAATGCGGCGTGTTACAATTTTGAGCATGGTTCAAAACCCCAACAAGTGCAAGTCGGTTGAGGAGTTGGGGAGTTCGCTTGAGCATTGGTTGACCAAGAAGAAGCAATATGAGGAGTTCACAGACAATGCAGGCAATCCTTGTGTTGTGTCGGATGATTCATTGATTGCCGGGCTTTACAGGTTGATGCCGGAGTCGCTTGAGGAGACCTTCATGCTCAGGGCAGATGAGTTCAGCGACTTCGAGAGCTTCTTTGACAAGTTGAGCAGCTATGCCACCACCAGGCACTCCCTCAATCTCAGTAGGAGGGAACTTGGATCAAGCCGCAACAAAGGTCCCAAAGATGATCCTATGGAGTTGGGAGCATTGATGAAGGGCGGCAAAGGAAAGGGTGGCAAGGCCGGCAACAATGCCAACAAGATGACCTGTCATGCCTGCGGCAAGTTGGGGCACAAGGCATCAGAGTGCCGGAGCAAAGGAGGAGGCAAGACATCCAACAAAGGAGATCCACCTAAGAGCAAGAGGATGGACAACGTGCAGTGTTGGGTGTGCATGAAGTATGGCCACTATGGAAAGGATTGCTGGAGCAACACCGGCAAGGGCAAAGGTAAGAGTGGCCAGAAGGGTAAGTTCGATGGAGGCTCCAAGAAAGGCAAAGGCAAAGGAGGCTCAGCAAATTCAGTTGAAGATGGACGCCAATCATCGCAGCAGCCTGAGAAGGAGCCGGAGTTGTCGCATTTGGACCTTTCGGCCATTGGTGATGGAGAAGGTGAGCATTTTCAGGTCTACTCCCCGCTTGGTCCAGAAGAGGAGCGAGAGGAGGATGCGCTCTTTTCAGAGGTCGGAGGGGCATCAGGAGGTCCAACGGCGCCTGGTTCAGAGGCTGTTGAGGGTGAGCGCGAGGATGCAGAGGAGGAGACAGTTGAGGCATCTAGTCAGAGGCCGAGGAGGAGAGTCTTCACCGGTGTCCCATCCATCAGGGCGAGCCAGAGCCGAGATCGTGCAGTCGGAGTTGACTTTTCGAGGACGCCTGACTGGACACCATCGATTCCGCCTGGGTTGACCCGCAATGGGGACGATAGTCGAACGAGGAGTCGATCCCGAGGAGGAGGACCAGCCCAGGGGTCAGCATCGGTGCATGAGGACGTTGACCACAACAGCATGAACACCGAGCACGAGGATGGATCGCCCACCTATCTTTGTAGTGTGGAGGGCGAAGAGTGGTTGAAGTTGAACTACGATTCAGGAGCTGTTAGCACCGTGATCCCCATCGAGATGGCCGTGGCCCAGGGCTTGCAACTTCGACGTGTTGGGGACTACAGGGTGGCGAATGGAGAGAAGATTCCAAGGTACGGCAGAGTGAGGGTGCCTTGCATTGATGAGCAGGGACATCGACGTGGGTTCAAAGCAACAGTGACCCATGTCCACAAGCCTGGATCTGCAGGTGAGTTCAGCGCCACTCACGATGCCTACATCTTCGATGATGGAGGATGGTTGATCCCCAGGAACACGAGCATGGCCCAAGCTATGAGAGCCTTCCTTCGGCAGCTCATTGATGTCAATGGTGAGCGTGGCATGCTGAAGCTCTATAAGGAGGGCAATCTGTACAACATCTACCTCAAGCAGCGTGGTGACTTGCAGGAGTTGGGAACCTTGGATTCCGACTCCGCCTCGTCGGGAAACGAGCGGCAGGCCATGAGGCCGTAAGTCCGGTCGATGAGGAGCCCAATGGAGAAGGAGGAGACCAGGGCAGAGAGGATGGAAGAGAGAAATGAGGAGGAAGAAGGTGAAGAGAGTGAGGAGTCTCCGCAATGGAGAGGTTGGGCGCTGGCGGAAGAGACCGTCGACTACATGAACCCCAAAGAATTTGAAGTTGGCTTGACGCCAAAGGCAAGACCGGCTGGAATCCCTGAAGGGGCATTTTTGGCCATCCGCAAGGACTTCAACTGTTTCACTACAAGAGGCACCTGGCCTGAAGGACCCAAATGGTCCCAGGTGTTCAGAAGGTTGAGCTATGATGAGGAGACAGGTGAGCTCATCTTCGATGACAAGATCCACGACTCCATGTCCTTTGACGAGATCCACAAGCAGTTCGAGCCGATGGCGCACAAGATGGAAACGCACTTCTGGTATGTTCCGGAGGCGGTTGATGGCATCTTGGTGAGGAGCCCGACTAGGGTGAGGAACCCCACCAAGTCAGAGATTGAAGAGCATGAGGCCCAGAACCATGCTGTTTACAGGAATTGGTGTGAAGTGTGCATCAAAGCTCGATCGACAGGAACGCCACATCGCAAGAGGACAGAGGAGGAGAAGAAGGAAGAAGGGCCCGCAGTGCACAGTGACTTTTACTTCATGCAGTCGTCGCCGTTTTTGGCCATGAAGTCGACACCATCGGGCATGTTGGGAGCTTTCGCACTGCCGGACAAGAGCAACAGTGGTTTCACACAGAGAGGCATGGCCCGCTTCATCACCGAGACGGGGCACAAGAGGCTGGTGCACATGTCAGACAACAAACCTGCCTTGATGGCCTTGAAGACAAGTGTTTCGGCATCACTGCCGGACATCGAGATTGTGAACAAGAATTCGCCTGTTGGAGATCATCAGGCCAATGGAAGCATTGAGGTGGCAATCAGAGAGTTGAAGAGGCAGATGAGGGCCTTGCGATTGTCGCTTGAGAGAAAGCTGAACATGAGCCTTCCTAATGACCACCCGTTGACGTCCTGGATTGCGAACTTTGCTGCAGAGTCGATCAACGTATACAGGAAGGACAGTTCTGGAAGCACAGCCTATGAGCGAGCCTACGGCAAGAAGTGGAACAAGCCTGCCCTTGAGTTTGGAGAGCTGGTTCACATCCGTGAGGCTAAGGAGAAGGCTGGCAGGTTGGATTGGGAACCGATGTCAACCCCGGTTCGCTTTGTTGGCCACCATGCGCGTACCAATTCCGTGATGGGGCTTTCTTCGGAAGGTTTGAAGATAGGCTTGGCAGTGAAGCGCCTGCCCACCAACCAGAGATGGAGCACAGATGGCATTGAAGAGTTGGCTGGATTCCCTTGGGATCTAGCATCACGAACAGGTGTTCGAGAAGGAACGCATCTTCGACCAGCGTTGCCTTCAGTTGGGCGTGCGAGGCTGGCACCACCAACGCCGGACCTCCCACCAGACGCACGAGCCTTTTACGTGCGCAAAGCCGACGTGGAACGACATGGTTTCACGGACAACTGCAAAGGTTGTGCGGCCGTCAAGGCCGGAGCCCGTCCAGTGGCTCATTCCGACGAATGCCGTCGTCGGATTGTTGCACTTGTCGGCCCTCGCAGAGTCGAGCTGCATGCAGACAGGGTCGCCTTGAGGTCAGAGCAGAAGGAAGAGGAGCTCAAGAAGAGAGCAGATGCAGAGGCTGAGAGGTTGAGGAAAGGAGATGAGAAGAGCAGTGCAGCACCTAAGAAGAAGGTGAGGATCGAGGAGAAGTTTGAGAAGGAAGGGGCAAAGCGGAGTGAGCCGTCTAGCCCTGAGTCGCCTAGCAAGAGGTGGAAGTCCGTCGGACACATGCAGTACAAGAGAGCAGCAGAGGTTGCAGTTGAGGAGCTCGATCCATCGGCATCCAAAGCAGAGGAGGCTGAGGTTGTCGTTCCAAGTGAACCGCCAGTTGTGGCGGTGGGTGCAGGTGACACCGCAATAGAACAGGTGCTTGCAAGAGGAGAAGCCGGTTCGTCTTCGGCAGCGGCTTCAGGTTCGACAGCAGCGCACAAGAAGCAGGATCCAGCACATGACATTTCCTACCTCGGCTTTGACTACGAGGAGGAGGTGATGTCGGAGAGGAAGTGGAGGCGAGTCGAGTCGATCGACTGCTTGAAGAGAAAGATTGAGGCCAAGAAGCAAGAGCTTGGCGCAGTTGATGTGGCGGAGATCTTCAGTCCGCCAAGGTTCACGAGAGGAGCTTCGCATTTGGGGCTCAATGCTGGTTTCGCTGTTGACCTTGAGACAGGTTGGGATTTAGACATCCCGGAGCACATGAAGCAGCTCAAGGAGTTGATCGAAGTGCAAGATCCTTTCATGCTCACAGGCAGTCCGCGCTGTGACCCTTTCAGTGTTTTGCAAAACCTCAACAAGTACTACCTCGACAATGCCAAGAACAGAGAGGCTTTGGAGCGAGGAGAACGACATCTTTGCTTGAGCATTGATTTGTATGAGGAGCGTTGTACTTTCTCCATGAGCACCCCGTTGGAGCAAAGTCATGGGATCATCCGCGAATGGTGAAGCTTCAGAAGCGTGCAGGAGTTTTCACTGTGGTCGGGCCTATGTGTGCTTGGGGCATGGGTCTGGAAGTTCCCAAGCAGGGTCGAGGGTTGGTGTACAAAGCGACCAAGTTCGTCACCAACTCCAAGGAGGTTGCAAAGTTGTTGGACAGGCATTGCACAAACAGGACTGGTGGACCTTTGCCATCGTCACATTTCGCTCATTGGTGGATTGGGTCATCTTTGTGCCAAGTACCCGGACGAGCTTGTGTACACGGTCCTCCAGGGCATCAAGAACCAGATGATGGTTGATGGTTGTTTGAATTCGATTCAGGCATACTCAAGTGGTCCTGATCCTACAGAGCCGTTGTTCCCTGAGGAGTTTCAAGAGGAGGTTGAACAGTTTTATGATGACATTTCAGGCGAACAGCTGCCACCGAAGTTGGTTCAGGAGGCGCGTGCAGAGGAGATCGGATGGATTCACAAGATCGGCCTGTACGACAAAGTGCCAAGAAGTCAGGCAGTTGCAAGTGGCAAACCAATCCTACTAGTTCGGTGGGTGGATGTCAACAAAGGAGACAAAGCTCACTACAAGGTGAGGTCGAGGATTGTTGGCAAGGAGCTGAAGGCGAAGACAAAGGAGGCGCTTCTAGCTCATGAGTTGTTTTCGGCTACACCTCCATGGGAGATGGTGAAAGCATTGTTTTCATTGCTGGTCACCGACTTTGAGAAGCAGGACAAGGAGTTGGTCATGGGAGTGTTTGACATTTCCAGGGCACACTTCATGCCCAAGGTTCTGCGTGAGCTCTACGTCGAGATCCCTGAGGAGGACAAGAAGCCGGAAGAAGGTGACATTGTCGGTCGGTTGAACAGAGGCATGTATGGTTTCAGAGATGCAAGCCATGCGTGGATGTTGGACTGGCAAGAGCTTCTTCGTGGAGGTGGCTATCGGGTTGGAGCAGCAAACCCGGCGTTGTTTTACAATGCAGAAGAGTGTTCACGAGGAGCAGTCCATGGTGATGATTTTTATGTTCTTGGACCGGTTGAAGCAGTTGACAAAGTGAAGGAGCTTCTCGGGTCCAAGTATCAGATGAGAGAGAGTCATCGCTTGGGTTTTACAACAGGTTGCGTGCAGGAAGCAACAGTGTTGAACAGAGTTGTGCGGTTGGGCACCACAGATGGCCGCCGCTGGGTCCGCATCGAACCCGACAAGCGGCATGTTGAGTTGATTGTTCAAGGTGTGGGCCTGAGCATGAAGTCAGCTGGAGTGTCCACGCCATCCATTAAGCCTACAGATGCACAAGCAGGGGCATTGGAGACTTCGGCAGAGTTGAGTCCGAAGGATGCATCCCGATACAGGTCGGGAGTGATGCGTGCGAGCTTTTTATCCCAGGAGCGTGCTGACATCGCTGAAGCTGTGAAGCGATTGGCGCAGGGCATGGCTAAGCCCAGGTTGGCACATTGGGAGATGCTCAAGAGGCTTGCTCGCTACTTGATCCAGTTCCCCAACGTCAGCTTGGTGTATCATCAACAGAAGATGCCGGACTACATCAGGATTTCAGTGGACAGCGATTTCGCTGGTGACAAGGTTGGCAGACGGTCAACAACCGGAATGGTGCAGTTCTTCGGTCGGCATGTTTTGAAAGCAACAAGCAATTTGCAGAGCGTGCTTGGCTTGAATGTTTCAGAGGCAGAGTTCTATGCCTTGACGCACGGAGCTGCGCATGGTCTTGGAACGCAGTCCTACTTCCTGGACATCGGCATCGAGTTGGGCATTGTGCTCGAGAGCGATTCGAGCAGCGCGAAAAGCTTTGCTTCGCGCCAGGGTTTAGGCAAGCAACGACACGTGCAGGTCAGATTCCTTTGGCTGCAGCAGTGCGTTGCGCGGCACGAGCTGGTGGTAAAGAAGATCGGAACACACTCCAACTGCAGCGACATCTTAACCAAGTCTAGTGATAGCAAGACCATTTCGAGACACATGGGAACCATGAACTTCGAACAGCATGAACCTAGTGAACTACAGAAGACCATCTTCTAACTGCCAGACTCCGCTACCATCCTGTCTTGGACGAACACCGTCCGCGACAGAGGAGGAGTGATCGAATTTCCCACAGCATAGTGGCCCAAAAGAAGCATTCGAGCGCCCGATCCATCGATATCACTCGATCATCGCTGATTAGGGGTCCCTGGGAGTACCATTAACGTATACAATGAGAGTCATACACGCACAGATCGAGAAGTTGCTACCGCACGAATTTTGTCGTGACTGAAAACCAGTTGTCTGCAACATAAAGCCAGAAACCCAAAACAAAAAAACAATGATCTGGAAACTATGCCCAATCCTAAAGCCAGAAAACAAAAAAACAAAGTTCTTCAAACTATGCCCAGTCTTATATAAAGCCAGAAAACCAAAAACAACATGATTTGGAAACTATGTTCAATCCTAAAGCCAGAAAACCCAAAAACCACAAACAA